AAATAATACAAAGTATTTTCTCAGACCACAATGCCATAAAATTAGAAATTAACCACAGAAGAGTAAAGCTTACAAAACCACCCATGTGGAAGCTAAATAACTCTCTGCTGAAACATGATTGGGTTATAAAAGAAATGCAGAAGGAAATAAAAAAGTTCCTTGAAGTAAATGATAATGAAAACACATTCATTTGTTGTGTGTATCGTTGAGTCGGAACCAACACATAGCTGACCTTCCGGACAGTTTTCAGAGGCAGTTAATCACACAGGAGGAGATTGCTCATCCTCTCCCATTAATCATTAATTAAGGAGCATAAATATAATTACTATATATTAATAAAAATTGTTTGGTAAAGGGTTAGTTATGGGGAAGACCCTTAAGGAGATGGCTTAAAGAAATTACTACAGTGATGGATTAAACATGCTCATGATCATGGAAATGACCTGGGATTGGACAATGATAGGAATCTGTATGAGGAAGTTTTTATGGTTTGGTTTGTCTGAAGCACACAACATGTATAGTTGTTGTTGATTGCGTTTGAGTTGAGCACAACTCATAGCCACACTATGAACAAAAGACCTGAAGCCCCTCTACAGCTATTGACATTTATCAAAGTTCATAGAGTTTCCGGAGGCATGTTGTTTAGGAAGTGCATGCCACTCCTGCTTCCAAAGCATGTATAGAGAGGGGATGAAGTACTACACATCTGAGAAGATACTGTTCTCATGGGGACCCTTGAGTACTCTTGACCTACAGTGGATTTCTTTGTGGAGGAGGAGTGTGAAGTGACTTAGAGGACCAAAGGCTGGGGATCTAGAGATTAAGTAGCAGTCTATTTCCTGAATTTGGAAGGGGTTACTTGACAAGATAAAATAAAAATCCTGGGAAAATTGAACCAGAAGCAACATAATGATAAATTGGAAAAAGATTGACTTTGAGAAGGATTTCATTTTACGTGGATTCACAATGAACACCCACAGACAGCAGTAAAAAAAAAAAAATGCTGCATAGCATTGAGAAAATCTGCTGTCAAAGCTTATTTAAAGTGTTAAAAAGGTAAAGATGTCACCTCAAAGACCGAGTTGTGCTTGACTCAAGCCATAGTCTTTGAATCACTTTCATATCCATGTGACAGCTGGGCAAAGAATATGAGAGACTAAAAAAAGAATTTATATATTTGAAATATGGTGTTGGTGAATACAGTTAATACACCATTGACTATTAGAATAACAAATTTGTTTAGAAGCTATATAGCTCCTCAGAAGGGAGGGTGGCAAGGCTTCACCTTCAGTCATGCCGGTAGGGAAGGACCACTCCCTGGAGGAAGGACGGCATGCCTGGCAAATTGGCAACGGAGATGGTTAGCAAGAACAAAAAAAAAGAAAGAAAAAAGAGGAAGCATCATCATGCTGAGTAAACTAATTTGGGCGCATAAGAACAAATACTGTGTAAGACCATTACTGTAAAAGCAGAAGAATAACTAGTAAGATGTCTATGGATAGTCAAAGAGGGAAGGGTAGGCGGTTGGGAGGGGTTTAAGAATGGGAAAGGGGGAAACCGCCAGGTCTCAGAGTTTGGTTTGTGAAGGGAGGAGGCACCCCCCCCCCAAAAACAATGTACATGTTTGAAACACAATATAAACTATTGTAAACCAATACAACAATTATAAAAAAGAGGAAGACCTTTAATGAGCTGGATTGACACACTGGCTCCAATGTGCTCAGACATATCAGTAATTATGAGGATGGGGCAGGACCCGGTAGCGTTTTGCTCATAGACATATGAGCCTGAAGCAGTTCAACAGCAGGTAACATTTCCAGAGTTTAGTGAGAGGACAGTGGGGAAGGGCAGACGTAGGAGGGGCTGCTTCTAGGATGAGGACAGAGCATGGACAGGAGAATATACATACCACTGGATAGGAATGTCAGGTGACTGCATGAGAAGAATATAGAGGACAGTAACAGAGAGGCCCGGAGGACAGGATTTAATGAGTGAATCTGTATGCTGTGAATGCGCATGGTTTGGAACACCTCAGTCAGAGGCCCTTGAAAGACGGCAAAGTGGTTGGGATTTATAGGGGCTTTGAGGGAGGAACGTGGACTCTTGGTAGATGTCAGTGTGCACACACATCTGCTATAAACTGTCAGAGGTGATTCCTCAATCATGGTGGAGGGGTTTGCAAATAAAAGATGTCGGTGAACACACCCCTGGAACGCCAGCACCAAATGGTCAAAACTCAGAAAAGAAAGAGCAAGTCAAGCCCTGAAGACGCAAGGACCTCGGGGTGGGCCTCCCCCTTGAGGCACGCCCTGACGCACCTGCTGCCCATATGCTCTCTGGGGTTCAGTTACAATGATGGCTCTTCATTGCAGCTTCACTTGCTACTGCACCAAACAGCACAGGGGCTAGAGACAAAGGCGCAGGTTACCGTCAAAGTGCTGGGGTGTCAGGACAGCCACCCGACAGCTCCACTTCGCTTGCGGTTCGCTCCCTCGGGGCCTCTCCTGTTCTAGGACAGTGATTGGTGGATGTACCCTTCCATTGCGGGGACAGTAGCCTATGGCTGTTACTGGCCCCGCCCTACCCCTTTAGCTCCGCCTTTTCCTGGCGCGGCCCTCTCCAGCCAGGAGGGTCAGGCTCATCACCCAGGCAACTGCGGACGCGAGGGTGCTGGCTGCAGGTGCCTAAAGGGATAGAAATTTAGCTGTGTAAGCCTCGGCGGCGGCCAGGACTCACGCTGAAGGGAGACCATGTCGGATCTGGGTTCGGAGGAGTTGGAGGAGGAGAGAGAAAATGATCTTGGGGTGAGAGTCCAGGGATCTAGAGTTGTTGCACAGGGAGGGAGACGTTGAGACCGGAGAATCAGGATCTCAATGCCCTCGCAGCCCAGCCTTGGTTACTAGGACCATCTGCGCCCCTACTTTGAAGTAATGGTGAAAGGTGAACCCTTAAGATCTCCAGTTGCTAATCCCCTTTTTCCCATTCGTCCAGTCCCCCTTTCCTCTTTGAAAGGTAGTTTCCAAGTCAAAGTTTGAGTTCCCTCTCTACCCCATGCTCAGTCTCTATGGAGGCAATTTTCTTAGATCCCCCAGTTCCCAAATGCCAGCAGTCTTTGAATCAATTATTTCTGTAATCGAGCTATGAGCAGACTGGAGAGGAAGTGGGACCAGGGTACCAGCACTACAGTCGCCATGCAGCCCAGCTAGGGTTACAAGGACTGCATTGGCCCCTGCATTGAAGTAGTGACAAGGGATGATCGACAAGGAGAGAACATATCTCTTGACAACCTCCAAGAAGTGCTGAGAGGACTTGGGTCCAGAGATAGAGAGATGTTGTTAGGTGCTGTGGGCTTGGTTCCAGTCTATAGTAGAGGGAGCTCCGATGGCTTAGTCCATAGGGGGTTGCTTTGCTAACTTCTCTGGCAGCTGAAACCAATCAGCATCTTGAACCTACCAACAGATTATTGGGAGAAAGATGGACAGTCTCTTCTAGTGTGATTTACAGCCTACGAAACCAACTGGAGGGTCAGCCATGAATGTATTCAGACTCCAAGGAAATGAGAGTTTTTTTACCAATCATGATACTTCTGCAAAGATTGGTCCATCCTATTAGTGGCCAAAGTATGTGAGACAAAGTCTTGCAATTCATTTTCCCAAGGAACTTATCACTCACTGCTGGAGATACTACTATGTAGACCTAGAATGACATGTTCTTGCTTCATTCCTAACTGACTGGCTTCTTGGAATTGAGGCTGGCTTGGAGGCATTATTGAAAAGGACCACTTTGTCTGAGAGCTTAAAGAACCTCCTGCCTTCCTGCTTCTCTTCTCCCCAGTGTGGTTTTTTTTTTGGTGTGTGTGTGTGTTTTTAAATTGCCATAGATGGAGTGAATTTGTTCTTAAATTGTGGTAATTACATAATTTCCATCATTCTTTCCATGTATAAGTCAATGACGTTAATTGTTCAGCTGTCACTGTTACTTCTTTCCATTTTTTTTTTCATCATCATTAACAGAATTTCTGTGTTTCCAGAGCAGAGCCCTGTATACCCTTCCTACCCACTTTTGGGGACCACTAGTGAACTTGGGCTTGTGTTTACTTACCTATTCTAGGTATTTTGTAAAAATAGAGACCCTTTGTGACTAACTTATTTTTTACTTATTGATAAGTATTTTAAACTAATGTTTAGAGGAGAGGAGGCCCCTTATTTTTTCTACTTTTCGGTGGAGCCAAGCCCCAAATGTGGAACTTGAACATCAACTACATGGAAGTGGCTAGTCCAGTATATATATCCACCTTTCAAGGATCCACTGTTCACTGGACAGAGTTATTTTTTTTAAAAAATCTTTTTTTATTTTATTTTTATGTGAGTGTACCGTCAAATCGGATCTGACTGGTACAGGAGGAGATTGTCCCTCCTTCCCCGGCAGAGCATCTGGTGGATTCGAACCGTGTGCCTCTGGGATTGTTGCAGCTCCTTGCCACTAGGCCACCAGAACTCCCCTGGACAGAGTTCTTGAATAGAACAAATGGTTACATGGAGAGGTTGGCTGTTTGACCCCATGCAGAAGTACCTAGGAAGACAGTCTTGCAATCTATTACTGACAGGTCACATCTGTGAAAACTCTAGTTCCACTCTGCACATATGGGGTCACTATTGAGTCAGAAATGACAATATGGCAAATAGCTACAGCTTCTTATTCCCTTTGCTCAGGTCCAGAACCTGCTCCTTGTTTATTTTTTTTTTTAAGAAATTAGGCATATCAATTTATTTGTCTATTTTTCAGTGATAATTTTTGGAAGGGCTGTTTGACAAATTTCAGCATTTCTATGAACTCTATAGACATGTTCAACAAAAAGGCATTACTCTTGGCCCTTTTAATATAGGTACAGTGTCCTGTTAACATCATAGATGATGAAAGGTGCAGCAAGTAACACAATTGAGAGCACTTTAAAGAAATTAGATGTGTTCTTCCAGCTATTTCACTGGTAATGTAACATAAAGATGCATTGATGGCTATTCATGACAGTGATTTGCAGAATAAAATCCATAGGCCTAACTACTTAAAATGGAAACTAGTGTACTAGCATAGAAACTCATGTCACAGTACTAAAATTGGTGTTTTTATTCTTAGGTTAGCAATTCTAAAGTGATTTCTTTGATTCCAGTTTTACATGATGTAGACAGTAATATGGTCAAGAGCTGTGAGGAAAGCCGGGCTGTATGTGCTGAATTGTGGAATCAGGCATTAGCTCGAATTAATAATAACCTGGGCTAGGACAGTGTTGTAGAAAATGAAAATTGTGTCCTTTATTGTGGTCTAACAGGGAGGCTATTAAGAACTGGTAATTATTGTGCTCCAAACATCATTCTTAAGTGTCATCAGTGGACTTAAGGAAGGAGTGGTCAAGGTGAGGTAAAAAATGACGTGAAAGACATCTGCATGAATGCTGGGAAAATCAGAGCCTGCCCTTAGGAGTTCCCAGCTGAGCAAAGACACAGCAACTAGACTCTCTCAGGAGGTCAAGGCCAAGGACCACACGGATAACCCAGCAGAGTGAAGTTTCTCTTACAATGATCAAGCCTCTCCTCATTCCTATGGCATTTGCTTCCCCATGTGATTCCTGCATCTTTATATCCAGACATGTGATTTCTCCAGACACTGCCACTTGGATATTGTTAAATTGTTGATGTTTTTGATGGCTTCTCATAGCCCAATAACATTCTTCCTTTATGATAAATTCTCGGGGAGGCAAGTATCCTGGCTTCCTCCTATACCTCTGTTTTTCATTGATCCTCTCTCTGAAGCATCTCCTTCACTCTTTGCTCTTTGCTCCTCCAACACTATCCCTCCAGCCTAGGAAACCTGATCTGCATGTCCAGCTCCAGCTGACTATGGTTTCTTCAAAACCCTCAGAAATCTTCCTCAGACCTCCCTGGCCCAGGCTGCAGCTGTCCTCTCTCTCTCTGTGGTTCCCCTGCCATCCTGGGAGGTCCTGGAGGGACATGTTTCCTACATGGAAAATAAGAATTCAATCACTGAACCACCAATGTCTCCTAATATCTATTCCCCCCTGTTGCCATGGTTACAGTTGTTGTTATTGTTAGGTGCTGTATAGTATGACACATAGTGGCCCTTTGAATAACTGATCTAAATACTGTCCTGTTCTGTGCCATCTTCACAATTTCTGACACACTCAGGCCTGTTGTCACAGTCTCTGTGTCAAGGAGTCATCCCCAACTCATGGTGACTGTATATTTGTCAATGTAGAATTTTATCCCAGAGGTTATTTAGTGGAATTTTTTTTAAGAAGTATATTGCCATGCCTTTCTTCTGAGGTATCTCAAACACACTCAACTTCCAGCCTTTCACTTAGCAGCTATGTTGTTGGTTATTTGCACAACCAGGTAAATTGAGTTAGACGATTCGTTTTTCAACCCTGAGGAGCTCAGTTTATTCTCTAGCTCCTCCCTCCTAACATCCTGCTCTTCATTGTAGCTTCTTCAGAGGGAAAAGCTCGTTGCATTTTAAGTCCAGGATTGTTGTTGTTGTTGATTGCCTTTGGGTCGAGCATGACTCATAGCAACCATATGAACAAAAGACCTAAAGCCCCTCTACAACTAGCGACATTTATCAAAGTTCGTAGAGCTTCCGGAGGCATGTTATTTAAGAAGTAGATGCCACTCCTGCTTCCAGTTTATGTATAGATGGTAAAAAGCATCATTAGATAATTTTTTAACTCGGTTATGAAAGATACATTCAAAGGTCCCAATTGACTTCCAATCCTTCCCAAAAGGCAGTCAAGGTTCCTCATCACTCTTTAATCTCAGCCCTTCATAGTTGACATTATCAACAAGTAAGACAGGAAGTCCAAGATTATTGTTGTTTACCATAGAGTCAGAACCGACCCATAGCTGACCCTCCAGTGGGTTTTCAGAGGCAGTTAATCGCACAAGCGGAGATTGTCCATCATTCTCCCATGGAGCGGCTGGTGGCTTCAAACCATGTGCCTTTCGGATTGCAGCACAGCTTCTTGCCAATAGGCAACCAGAACTCCCTAGTCCAAGATTTCAGAGGAAATAAATGAGTACTCTGTTTGTTGAGGTTTGGACCTGTTTCACCTGCATACACTATTTCAAACATATTCCTGTGAAGACTAAGCCTCAGAGCACCTGGTAATTTTCTCAAATTGGTTGGCTTTACTCCTGGGGGATTATCATAGCAAATTGAAAATGCAAATGTTGAAAAGAAGGTAGTGTCCACCATGAGAAGCCACTAGTTGTGAGGCCTTGAAAGGCAATGCTTCATCTTGCCCAGGCCTGGTCACTTAACCTCCCCTATAAGCTAAGGGAACTTTTACATGGTATAGAAAAGTAAGAGGATTCATTGGAATGTTGTTGTGAGGTACCACTGAGTAGATCCCTACTCATAGCAAACCCAAGTACAATGACGTGAAATGCTACCCAATCCATGGTCATCCTCACCAGTCCATCCCAGGGAGGGTCTTCTTCTTTACTGATCCTCTGCTTTTCCATGCATGATGCCCGTCTCCAGGCACTGGTCACTCCTGATACCATGTCCACAGTAGGTGAGGCAAAGTCTTATCATTTTCACTTATAAGGTGCAGTATGGCTGCATTTCTTCCAAAAGAGATTTGTTCCTGCTACCAATTATAATCCATGGTAAATTCAGTGTTCTTTCCCAACATCATAATCCAAATGCCTCCATAAAAAGTGTTTCTAAAATGCTTAGCAGACGCGGTGTGCTGATGAAATGGTAGCTGTGACTCTCTCTGTTTCTCTCCCTAGGAGTATGAGGGGGAGAGGAACAATGCAGGTGAGCGGCATGGGCACGGGAGAGCCAGACTTTCCAATGGGGACACCTACGAGGGGAGTTACGAATTTGGTAAAAGACATGGCCATGTAAGAACCATCACTGAGTGAAGGGTTTTTCTGGCTGGGTGTTGAATCTATTGGTGAGCAGGACATATCGGAATGATATAAACTGCATAATTAATGTATTTCAGGGAACTTACAGATTTAAAAATGGTGCCCGCTACATTGGAGAATATGTCAAAAATAAAAAGCATGGTCAAGGCACTTTCATATATCCGGATGGATCACGATATGAAGGTAAAATGTCATGCCAAGACAAGTTTCGTATTTGTTTTGTGTTGCAAAGGTTTTGCCTTTCATAATCAAACTTGTTTGTGAATATTGAAATGCAAGTTTGTTGTTGTTATGTGCCATCAAGTCACCATGATTCAAAGTGGCTCTATTATGCACAATAGCTCTGAGTCTTTCTCTGTCCTGAGCCAATCTCACTGGTTTTGACACAGCTATCTTCTTTGGCCCAGTTATTGTATCAATCCATCTCGTCCGGGCTCTTCCTCTCCTGTCCTGTCCCTCCATCCTTCCAAGCATGATATCCTTCTCCAAAGACTAGTGTTTCCTGGATACATGGCCAAAGTAAGTGAGATGTTGTTGTTATGTGCCATCGAGTCGCTTGCAACTCATAGCGACCCTATGTACAACAGCCCTAAACTCCGCTCTGTCCTGTGCAAATCGCACCGTCTCTGACACTCCCATCCCAATTACCCCAGTCACTGAATCAATCCACCTCATAGAGGGCCTTCCTCTCCTGCGCTGTCCCTCCACCCTCCCAAGCATGATGTCCCTCTCTAAGGACCGGTCTCTCCTCACAACATGTCCAAAGTATGTTAGATGGAGCCTCAGAATCCTTGCCTCCAAGGAGCCACCCGGTTTAACCCTTTCCAGGACAAATCTGTTTGTTTTCCTAGCAGTCCATGGTATTCTCAATACTCTTCTCCAGCACCACAGCTCAAAGGCATCAATTCTCCTTCTATCCTCCTTGGTCATTGTCCAACTCTCTGATGCATAACAAGTGATTGCGAAGACCATAGCCTGTATCAGACGCACCTTAGACTCCAGAGAGACACCATTGCTCCTCAGTACTTTGGAGAGGTCCCTAATAGCAGACTTTCCCATGGCAATGCGTCTTTTAATTTCCTGGCTGCTGGTGCCAAGACTGTTGACTATGGAGACAAGCAAACTAAAGCTGTGTACAATCTCAATCTCTTCACCATCCATCTTGATGCTGCTAATTGGTTCAGTGGTGAGAATCTTTGTCTTCTTGACATTGAGCCTCAATCCATATTGTAGGCTGCAGTCCTTGACACTCTGCAGCAGGTGCTTCAGGTCCTCTTCAGTTTCAGCAAGCAGGGTTGTGTCATCTGCATAATGCAGATTGTTGATAAATCGTCCACCAATCTTGACCCCACATTTCTCCTCATAGAGCCCAGCCTCCCGGATAATCTGTTTCTGCATATAGGTTGAAAAGGTATGGAGATAGGATGCATCCCTGGCATACGCCCTTCCCAATTTTGAACCATGCAGTGTTCCCTTGCTCTTTGTTTCAGCCTCTCCAGAACAAATCTCTTAGTTCTCTTGGTAGTCCGTGGTATGTTCAATTCTCTTCTCCAGCACCACAACTCAAAGGCATCAATTCTTCTGTCTGATGCATTGCAAGTAATTGTGAAGACCAGGGCCTGCATCAAGTGCATCTTACTCTCTGGACTGACACCATTGCTCTTTAGCCCTGTGGAGAGGTCCCTGACAGTAGATTTTCCTAATGTAATTTGCTTTTTTATTGCCTAACTGCTGGTGCCAAGAGCGTGGTTTATGGAACTGAACAAGCTGAACTGGTAATCTCTTCTCCATCTATGATGTTGCCAAGTGGCCCAGTGGTGAGAATCTTCGTTTTCTTGATGTTGTGCTTCAATCCATATTGGAGACTAAAAGTCCTTGATCCTCTGAAGCAAGTGCTTCAAGCCATCCTCAGTTTCAAAGTAAGATTGTGTCATCTACATAACATAGATTATTGGTAAGTCTTCCTCCAATCTTGACTCTGCATTCTTCCTCATAAAGTCCAGCCCCTCGAATAATCTGTTCTGCATACGGATTGAAAAGATGTGGAGGCAAGACACATCCTTGACACATTCTTTTTCTGATTTTGAACCATGCAGTGTTTCCTTGCTCTGTTCTGACAGTGGCCTCCAGGTCTGAGTATAGGTTTTGCATGAGCACTATCAGGCTTTCTGGGATTCCCCTTCTAAAGAGAGCATTTAACATTTTCTCGATTAGCCAGTCATTCAGATGCACCTTGCATTCTTAGATTCATCGGCTGGGCAGAAAAATCAGACTGCCTTTTCACTAATGACTCCAAAGTGGGAAATGTGGCTGTTCTGTGACCAGCACACTCTCCTGTGAGTCAATCTGCTGGAAAACTAGTGACAGAGGAGGCTGAGGGATGAGCATAGACCTGGGAAGGGGTTGGACTGTGATGGTGGAATCAGGATTGACTTGATGGCAATGGGGCTGGAGTTAACATTCACCCTAGTTCCTGGGTCATGCAAATGATTCACATATTTAGCTGCTTAAAGAAAAAGTTGGAAGTTCAGAAGAAAGGCTTGATAATCTTCCTCAAATCAGCCATTGAAAACCCTGTGGAGCCCAGGAATAGTCATATGTCAGAACTGATTTCACAGAACCTGGTTTTTACCATCTGTCTCCTCAATGTTCTTTTTACAATGTTCCACTTCTGACCAACCCCTCTTCTAATTAACACGTTGTATTTTTAGACCCAGTGGTTCTAATGTAGGCTTCTTGTCTGGGAGACCTTTTCCCTTGCTCAGTTGCCTTTTCCTATTGCTGCCACCATTCCTTACATGCTCACCGAGTGTCTTAGGAAGGTCCTTGTTTCCTTATTCACCTCACAATTGCCTCCATGTACTTACTCCTGATGTGACTAAGATGTTCTTCTAACATCAAGGAGACACCAAGGCAGAGGTTCTAAACCTGGCAAGAGATTTGGTTTGGTTTTGCACATTAAGTGGGAGAAAGAGAGATCAGTATGCTTCTATAAAGATGTATATTCTTGAAAACTCTATTCTCAAACTTAGACTCAGTGCCATCAAGTTGGTTTCATCCACAGTGTCCCTCCATTGGGTTTCTCAGGCTGTAAATCACAAACGGAAGAGGCTGCCCTTGTTTCTCCCATAGAGCAGTGGGAGTCAAAGTGCTGGAGACAAAGCCTCTCGATTAGGAGAGCAACACCCTGTGGTCCACACATTAGAGTTCCTTAGAACTCAATATGGCAGTTCTACAGAGCTGCCTATGGTGGTGGTGGTGGTGGTTTTTGGTGCCATGGAGTTGACTACAACTCATCTAGCATGATTTCTTTTTCCAAGGACTGGCCCCTCTTGATAATATGTCCAAAGCGTGTGAGATGAAGTTTCACCATTCTTGTCTCTGAGGAGCACCTTGGTTGAATTTTCTCCAAGACACTTGTTTGTTCTCTTGGAAGTCCATGGATATTCAGTACCCTTATCTAACACTACAGCTCAAAACCATCAGTTTTGCTGCTCCTTCTCTACAGGATTACTGTAAGTCTGAATTGACTTTGTAGCTTTGTTTATTGTTTAAGTACCATGGCCTAGTGGCAAGAAGACACATTGCAATCCCAAGGGCACGCAGTTCAAGGCCACCAGCTACTCCACAGGAGAAGGATGGGCAATCCCTCTTGTGCAATTAACTGCCTCTGAAAACCCACTGGAGGGTCAGCTATGGGTTGGTTCCAACTCTCTGGTATACAACATACAACAACAAAACAACAAACCATGAATATCATAGGATATCATAGTTGCTGAATAAATATTAGATTGATTTGGAGAAATGTGTAGAAACACCCTTTTGTCACTAAATGTTGGAATTTATTTATTTAAACACTCACTGCTTGGATAATTCCATTTTGTTGTTGTTGTTATTATGTGCTGCCATTGAGTTGATCACAATGCATACACAATAACTCTGAAGCCTTCCCTATCCTGGACTATTCTCACTATCTCTGGCTACACCTGGTTACTCTCATTACTTACCCATCAAATGGATTACTTGTCAATCCATCTCATCCAGGGCCCTCCTCTTCTGCACTGTCCCTCCATTCTTCCAAGCGTGATATCCTTCTCCAAGGATTGTTCCCTCCTGGCAACATGCCCAAAGTATGTGAGACAAAATCTCAAAATCCTTGCATCCAAGGAACAGCTTGGTTTCACCCTCTCCCAGACAGACCTGTTTGTTCTCATGACGGTCCATGGTATGTTCAATACTCTTCTCCAGCACTACAACTCAAGGGCTTTGAGTCTTCTTCTGTCCTTTTTGGTCATTGTCTAGCTTTCTGATGCATAAGAGGTAATTGTGAAGACCATGCCTTCAATCAGGTGCACTTCACTCTTTCGACTGATATCATTGCTCTTTAGAATTCTGGAAAGATCCTTGACAACAGATTTTTCTAATGCATTTTGTCTTTTGATTTCCTAACTGCTGTGTTCCTAACTAACAAGTGTTGATTGTGGAACCAACCAAGCTGTAATTATTAACAATCTCATCTCTTTCCCATCTATCATGATGCTGCCAATTGTCCCATTAGTGAGAATTTTTGTTTTCTTCATATTGAGCTTTAATCCATATTTGAGACTAGAGTCCTTGACCCTCTGCAGTAAATGCTTCAAGCCCTCCTCAGTTTCAGCAAGTAAAGTTGTGTCGTCTGCCTAATTCAGGTAATTGATGAGTCTTCCTTCAATCCTGATGCCCCATTCCTCCTCATAAAGTCCAGCCTCCCAAATTATCTCTTCCACTTATAGATTGAAAAGGTATGGAGACAGGACTCATCCCTGATACTTTCCCCTCCTGATTTTGAACCATGCAGTGTTTCTCTGCTCTGTTTTGACAACTGTCTACTGGTCCAAGTATAGGTTTTGCATGAACACAATCAAGTATCCTGGGATTCCTATTCTTCTCAAGGTTAGCCACAATTTGGTGTTATCCACATAGTCAAATGACTTTCCATAGTCAATGAAACACAGATAGACCTTCCTCTGGTACTCTCTGCTTTCAGCCAAGATCCATCTGACATTTGTCATCACAAATTATATCCCTAGCACCACAGCCTCTTCTTTACTCAGTTTATATTTCCAGTAGTTCTCTGTCAGTGTAATGTTCCATTTGATTCGGGATGATCTTGCATCAATCAAGAATTTGCTTGCATGTGTTATTAGTAATATTGTTTTAAATATGCATCTCTTCTAGTCAATTGGCCAGGTGGTTGTCCTCCAGATTTCTTGGCACAACCTGGTGAGCATGTCTAGAGCTATATCTGTTTGCTTGTTTTTTTTATTTCAAAGCTTGAGACATTGTATTATACAAACTACCTTATACATACATTCATGTTGTTGTTAGGTGCCATCGAGTCGAGTACGACTCATTGGGACCCTATGAACAAAGATCTGAAACCAGTCCTGTCTTGTGCCATCCTCACACACTTCCTGGCACACAAGAGCCCATTGCAGCAGTGACCTTGTCAATCCACCAGGTTGAGGGTCTTCCTCTCCTTCGCCAACCTTTTATCTTTCCCAACATCATGTCCCTCTCCAAGCAATAACACCTCCTAGCAACATGTCCAAAGTATGTGAAATGAAGCTTCATCATTCTTGCCTCCAAACAGCATTCTGGCTGCACCTTCTCCAAGACATATCTATTTGGGTGTTGTTGTTTGTTTGGTTTTTTTTTTTTTGTTTTTTTTTGCCATCAATAGAATGTTCAGGGTTCTTCAATACCATAGCTCAAAGTCATCAATTCTTTTTCTGTCATCCTTATTCTTTGTTCAGGTCTCAGATGCATAGCTAGTAATCAGAAAGACCATGTCCTGAATCAGGCATACCTTAGTCCTCAAACCACTATCACTACTCAATAATTTGGAAAGGTCCCTACCTGCAGATTTTCCCAGTGCGATGCATTCCCTTATTTCCTGACAGCTTGTACCAAGGGTGTTAATTGTGGATTAAAGCAACATGAAGCTGTTGACAGTTTCAATGTTGTCTCCATCCATCATGACACGGGCTGTTGGTCCAGTAGTAAGAACCTTTGTTTTCTTGATATTGAGACACAATCTATACTGAAGGCTGCATTCTTTGATCTTCTGCAGCAAGCGCTTCAAACCCTCCTTATTTTCAGCAAGCAAGGTTGTGTCATCTGCATGATGCAGGTTATTGATGAGTCTCCCTCCATTCCTGATACCACACTCCTCTTCATAGAGTCTAGCTTCTCGAATAATTTGCTCAGCATATAGATTGAACAGGTATGGAGATAGAATACATCCCTGATGCACTCCCTTCCCAATTCCAAACTGTGCAGTGCTCCCCTGCTCTGTTCACACAACAGCCTCCTGGTCCAGGTATAGGTTCCTCATGAGCACAATCAAGTGCTCTGGGATTTTCATTCTTCTCAGTGTCAGCCACAACTTGTCATGATCCACACAGTCAAACCCCTCTGCACACTCAATAAAGCACAAATAGACATTCTTCTGGTCTTCCTTACTTTCAGCCAGGATCCATCTGACATCACCAATGATATTCATATGTACTTCAAAAATTGATGCCTTTGAGCTGTGGTGCTGGAGAAGAGTACTGAATATACTCATGGACTGCCAGGAGAACAAACAGATTCAACCTAGAGAGGGTGAAAGCAGGCTGCTTCTTGTAGTCAAGGATTCTGAAGCTTCTTCTGACATACTTTGGACATGTTGCAAGGAGGGACCAGTCCTTGGACAGGGATATCATCCTTGGGAGGGTGGAGGGACAGCACAGGAGAGGAAGATAATCAATGAAATGGATTGATTCAGTGACTGGGATAATGAGGATAGGTGTGTCAGAGACAATAAGGTTGGCACAGGATAGAGCAGGGTTCAGGCCTACTGTACATAGCGTCTCTATGAGTCACAAGTGACTCGACACGTAATAAAAAACAATTTCAAAAATCAATCATACATTCAAATATGGAATTCTTCACAAATTCGCATGTCATCTTTGCTCAGGGATCATGCTAATCTTTTCTGTATTGTTCCAATATTAGTATATGTGCTGCTGAAGCAAACACTGCATCTGTTTTTTTAAATATGTCAATCAGTATTCTATTAATTCCTCGGGCCTTGTTTTTTGCCAGTTCCTTCAGAGCCGCTTGAACTTCTTCTTTTTTCAAAGGAATTTTTATTAATATGTGACAAGTCTCTCAACTAACTGTTCTGTATTCCTGAAAGCTGATACTTTTTTAATGTCTCTCTGTATGAGAACAAATTTTAGAAATGTCTTCTGTATTTAGCCCTGGTGGTAGAACAGATAAGCTCTCAGATGCCAACTACTGAGTTGGTAGTTCAAACCTAGTCAACAGTTCCAATGGGGGGGAAAATCTATTGATTTTGTTCTGAAAGATAACAGCGTAGGGAGCCCTAAGAAGTAGTTGTGCTGTTATGTAGTATTAATCCTTTTCCATACTCTAGACATGTGTTATAAATTTCATAGTATCTTTGCCAGTTTTTGTGTTTCATATCAAGTCTTGAGCAAGCCATTAGGAAATGCCTATATGGAGGTAGTGACAAGGCCATTCAGTGAGTCCCAGCAGGAGCTCATGTGGAAAAGGCCTGTATCCAGGTGAATGGAAATAGTGTGTAGGTGAGACTTCCAGGGCAATGAGCTGCAAAAGTATGTGGGATCTGAGTGGGAAATAGACTGAATGCTGATATGTAGTCAAGGACCAAAGCCCTGGCCTTGGATGACTGAGCACACGAGGGTAAGGGCATGTGGCGTTGGGACAGGAGAAGACTCACTTGACTTTGAACCCTTTATCTGCTGTTGATCCCCTGTGGAGCTTGCTGTCAGTACACACAGGTGACGTAACTCACACTATTTACCTTCTATGTACAGACTTGCACCAGGGATCCTGGCTCAGGCCTCCCTTAACCAGCAGCTCCCTAACTGGCCACAGCCACTCTGTGCAGTCCAACGTGTGAGAAAGAGGGCAGAGGAACTTCACGGCCGAGGAGGCGGACGAGGCAATAACCTTTGCCATTGCTGAGACCTCTTCTGCTACATTTCCAAAGCCTGTTAGAGCTTATACAAGGCATACAGCAGAAGCTGCACGGGCTGTACAGTTAATCCTCCTTCTGCTGGGGGCCTCACCCAGGGACATGGCCAGGGTGGTACTCTTTCTCCTCACCAGGGCTGGATTGTGTTGTCTCTTTCAGGAGAGTGGGCGGATGACCAGAGACATGGCCACGGCGTATACTACTATGTCAACAATGACACCTACACGGGAGACTGGCTTTTTCATCAGAGGTTTGGTTTTTATCTTCAGCTTTGTACATTTATTCATGTGATAAAAATATGAGGACCTGTACCCTTGTATGGAAGTCCTGGGGTAAAAACAGTTAACATGCTCAGCTGCTGACTGAAGGAATAGGATCTTGAGTGCACTGGCACCTTGGAAGAAAGGCTTAATGAATGCCGTCTGAAAAAGCAGGCACAACCCCTGTGGAGTCCCATTCTTCTCTGACACACATGGGGCCATCCTGAGTCAAGACTGCCTCGATGGCAACTAACAGCAACTGTTATACATGGTTGTTTCTACCAGTTAAGAAATTGAACTATGACAAAAGCCCCTTAGTCTGTGAGGCAGTGGAAAACTCTTGGTTCAAGGCAGTACTTCTAGATGAAATGTCACTGAACACGTATAGAAAGGCGGCCCCAGTGCTGCAAGCGCTTGTCTCCCCTCTGTGGCAAAGTGCATGGGCGAGTCTGTGTGACACCACGAGCACCAGGTTGTAAGGCGAGGGAGAACCATTGCTCTCAGTAGCTTGGGAATCACCTGATTCACCATGGCTGTGTCTGTCCCTCAGTAGAAGCCTGTCCTTATGGTAGGCGCCTGACAGTCTACTTCGCTGGGGAACACTGAGCAGGAGGTGTCTTCAGATACAGAAAACAAACAACAAGTGTGTGAGCCTAGCCTCAAGGGAAGCCACCCTTAAGTGATGCACTGCAAAAAATTTCAGTTTTCACTGCAGTGGAACAAAATGATGGCACGCTCCTTGTCTTACCAGGCACGGGCAAGGCACCTATGTCTACGCGGAGACGGGCAGCAAGTATGTTGGCAAATGGGTGAATGGGCAGCAGGAGGGTGCAGCTGAGCTTATCCACCTGAACCACAGGTACCAGGGCAAGTTCCTGAACAAAAATGTAAGTCCACCAACATTTGTCAGTAAATTAGGCAATGCTGCACCTCCAGGCCACCATAGTCTATAGTCTACAGAGAGTTGTCCTGCTGGTTCAAAGGGGGCTGATTCAAATCCATCGACAGCTCCTTAATGGAAAGATAGTATGATTCTGTGCAATTTATAGCCTCAGAAAACACACTGGAGGGTCATCTATGACCTCCAACTCAACAGCAGTGAGAATTTTTTTTCTCTCTTTCAGATGCAGAAAATCTGTAAATATTTAAAAAAAAATTTCCAGGGTCTTCTCTCATCTACTTGAAACACTGGGGATGAAGCTGTGTTTTGCTTTGGAAAATCCTGCATCCAGCTCTGACACTCAGAGAGGGCAGAGCAGTGAGGGTGAGGGGCAGTTGGCTGGTTTTTCAGAACAAATTCCAGTCGTCTTCCAGCAGTGAGTGGTCTGTTGTACTCACAGGGCTTCTCAGCCAGGAATCAACCTCAAACCACTGAAAGTGCCAAGTAGTACGGAATGGAGATGTCCTGACTTTCTTCTTCCTTGAAGGGGCGATGCCAGAGCCCTGTGATCGATGGGCCCTTTCTTTGGTTGCAGGCCACTGGCCGCTTCTGAGGAGTGATAAGATTTGTGGGTACTTTGGGGGCAAGCCTGCCTTTCAGCTTACAGTCCCCATGAAGGATCACTTTCTTCTAGAGGACTTATGATGCTTCTTCTTGTAAGAGGCCCTAGTGTGAAGGAAAGAAACCCTGGGTGTCTGAGAACCTGCTGCATGGATATTTGTGCCTCAGCAGAAGCTCCCTAAAGAGTTTGTAAAGCAAATGAATAGTTCCTAAAAGGTGATAAGTGTTGTTGTTGGGCGCCCTCAAGTTGACTGGGATTCATAGCAGGCCTGTGGACAACAGACTAGACTTTGCCCTGTTCTGGACCATCCTCACACTCTCTGGCATGCCAGTCCATCTCAGAGTTGTCCTCTCTTTTGCTGGATCTCCTCCAGTTGTTGTTGTTACGTGCCATTGAGTCTCCTGTGACTCATAGCAGCCCTATATACACTAGCTCTGAAATCTGAGCCAATCTCATCCTCCCCAACAGACCTAATCCCATGGCTCCCATGACTCCCATGAGTCAATCCATCTCATCCGGGGTCTCCCTCTCCTACACTGTCCCTCCACCCTTCCAAGCATGACGTCCTTCTCCAGGGACTGGTCCCTTCTGGCCATGTGCCCAAAGTATGTGAGATAGAACCTCAAAAACCATGCCTCTAGGGAGCAGCTTGGTTTCACCCTCTCCAGGACAGACTTTTTCTAAGGATCTGCCCCTACTGACAAGATGCCGAAAGGATGTGAGATGAAGTTTCACCATGCTTTCCTCTAGGGAGCACTTGCTTGCACCTCCTCCAGTACAGACTTGTTTGTCTGTGATTTCTCTTTTGAATCACTAGTAGGTTAATAATGTACTGTGTATATGTTAGTGTAACGAATATACTACTTTTATAAAGAGATAAAAATTATTAAAAACTTGAAAAATAAACACATCAGGATATGTTGCTGCTGACATGTTGTTTTGGGCATGTTATCAAGTTAATTTCAACTCATAGTAACCCTGCATGAGCTTCACGATAGGGCAGAGCTGTCCCGTATGGTTTTCTGGGCTGTACTCTTCACAGAGTAGAGTAGATAAGACAGACTAGGAAGAAGGATTGGCCAACCACTTCTGAAATAGCAGGCCTCTGAAAACCCTATGTACAACATTTAGATAACAGAGATGGCAAAGGAGGTTGAGTTTTCAAGCATGGAAATACAAAGGAAGAGGAACAGTTGTAAGCAGACACTGGTGATTGGGACATGGAATGTGAGAACCATG